AGGTTTGTTTGATCGTCGTGGAAAGTGTTACTCGAGCTGCATAAAGAACGGGAAGTAGAACCTCGGCCCAATTTCCTTTAGGACAATAAACCTATTATGTTAGAAACTTTAAGATGAATTTATAGGTTGTCTCGGCTTGTCTATTCGATTGAGGATGATAGACGGGCATGAATTTCAAATTGATCCCTTGATTCTGACAAAAGTATTTCACCCCTCGATTGGTAAATTGTGTTTTGTTGTAACATTTACGACGGCAGGCCACAACAAAAAATTATATCAATCCAGATGAAATGTCAAACGATTTGTGTGGTGATCCAAGCGAGTGCTTTAGCCTAGACCCGCTTGGAAAAGTAATCTACAACAATGAGCATAAATTTTCCCTTACCCCGCGACAAGGATAAATGGATTAAGGATATCGAGTTCTCAAATGGTGAACGACCATGAGCTGACAATGGGTTGTAGTTGTGATCTCATTGATATTGTAGCGAGACAAACTTCTACCATTGTTCTCATCTCCTTGAGAATTCATTGACATCATTTTGTAGTGTTAGCCAAAATTATCTAGGTTAATGTACTCAATGTGCCAAAGTCTTCCCTCCGAAATGACTTTTGCATTCTCTTGAATGCACTTCACAGATGACATCTTCTGCCTTATCCTCTTTAATGCACCTCAGATACAAAGATGCGACTGACCTTTGAAAAACTTTTCCCCAATTGTGAGATATTGTTCTGTCTTGATCTTGAAGTGTTTTTGGTCAATTACTTCTTCCGAGACCTTCTCATTCTCAAATAATAAGAAGTATGGATCTATCCAGCTATTTGATCCTTCAACTCCCAACTCAATCACATCAACTTCCTCCATGGTTGGCCAGACAAGCCTTTGGGGCGTCCCCTCCCCAAGCAGATGCACTTAGATATGTGGTTCACTATAGGGTTATCTGCTTAGAGGATGTGTTCAATTTTGAAGCCTTAAAACTTCTCTATCTCTGTCTTGGATTTGTTGAGTTATTTGATTATCATCTTGCCTTTAATTTAAAATTAATTGTTCACCTAATTGATTACCATATGTGTAAAATTTTACTAGGATGCATTGCACGTCTATTGCATAAGAGAACCGTGATACAACAATCAGTGCTTCGTGCTCAACTTGATTGTTGGCAACTTCGAATCCCAATTCTATCAAGTGGTTCATATAATCCTCGATCAACTTTTTCTGAGCAAGACTAAGCCCCACCCTAGTTTGACTAGATGCTCTGTCAATATGTAGGACCCAAGTATAACAATCAGTTATCATTTCTTCGCCTAGTTCACTTGGCTCAAAAAAATAGACAAGGAAGTCAACTATGACCTAAGCCTTGATGGTAGTCTGGAGCACGTAGGGGATGGTCAATAATGATCCTGATCAGATGCGTTTAGAAGTATGGGTGAAGCATGTAGGTAAAAATAATGAAAGAAAATGTTAATTTTTTTCATAATTGGATATTAAACTTGGCTCCTCGAAGGACTCCACTAACATAGTAGACCAAGAACTGCTTCCCATACTCCTCTCGAACTAAAATCGAGTTGATGACGTCCAACTCCTAGTTTTGATGGGTGACAAACTGTATGGTGCACTTCAAATCGTTGGTATCTCTATTATCAATTTCTTCCCTTTAATATTCTCATTTTATTGTTTGTGGTATGATCCATGCTCACGATAACTTTTGGGATATTGAATCCCGATTTGTCCGTAAATCACGCCCAAAGAATAAAAGTGTAAGGAGGGTAAGAGAGAGAGAGAGAGAGAACAGTAATGAACAGTAATCCGTCATTTTTTATTCATAAAATGATCTCATATTTATAGAAAAAATGACACAATGAGGATGTTTTCCTAAGATATTTATGATATTTTACATGCATAGACTATCATCTGGCTGATTTCTGGCTCGGCCAGCTAAGCTAATTTGACCATAGGTTTGCGGGATCAGCTCGGTTGGCTAAACTTAGTTAGCACAGATAGATCAGTTGATCTAGTCTACCTGTTGATTCTTGATAACTGGTGCACAACCTAGATGCATTCAGATGGTTGGAAATGCTAAGGTACCAAAATTTTCCTCGGATCGACTTCACTAGAAGGTAGGCTATCACATATTATCAACTTTCCTATAGTGGTTAGCTCAGATGCACTTTTGTCTCGTTTATGGACGAGTGGCTCGTGCTTGTACTCTTTGGTCGTTGGCCCATCTCGTGGTTCGATCGGTTTTTGGTTTTGTTGACATTGTTCACACAACTTCACTCGGCCAGTCAAGTGGGCCTAAAGACCTCTTGTCAATGAAACCATTCACCACACTCTTCCCTTTTAGACCATTGGATCCCTTCAAGATCAACATCAACACTTTTTTAGTGTACATAATTGAAATATTTTAAATTTATTAATAATATAAAAAAAAACTTTTAATAATTTCAATTTAACTTTAGCCGCTCGAATTCTATTTAATTGGGTTTTTAATTTATAACAAACATTAATAAGAAACTTAATTTAATAAAAATATGTGAACGAATCAGCAACTGTATGCTACTATTTTTTTTTTTTTTGCAATGCCATAAAACTGTTGTGTATAATTGCTTCTGAGGCGTTTGCATTCATACCACTTAATTCCTATGTATTCACATCCCTAGCTCCCAAATTTTACAATTTTTACATTTATAACACCCCAAATATTTCATATCGCACAAAGAATATAGACGTATTTTTTTTCTATGTACCATTTATTGCTAACCGATAGTGGTAAACTATAGTGCTGTGAGAAATTACTTGAGATGAAGATTCAAAGATGTGAGAGTCAAATAGGACCCGAGATTTGACGATATTACAAGATGAAAAAAGAACACTACACAACAAATGAGTGTACAGGCCGAAAGAAGTGTCAGATGGTAGCAGACACTACAAGACATAACTTGTTGTGGAGTGGTTTCGATAAAAGGAAGGCGTGGACTACACTGAGTTTTTTCTCCTGTGGTGAAGATGACAAATGTAAGAGTTGTGTTGAGTTTGATGGCAGAAGAAGATCTACGTCTTGAACAGATGAATGTAAATAAAATCTTTTTTTTACATGAAGATCTGAAAGTGGAACTATACAGATGCAACAGTCAGGTTACGGGGTTCCAAGGAAAGAAAATTTGGTCCAGATTGAAGAAGAGCCTCTATGGATTGAAGCAGATTCCGAGCTAATGATACAAGAGATTTGATAAGCTCATGTCAGATAGTGGACACATGAAATGCTAGGCAAACCACTGTTGTTACATCAAAAGCTTCGGTAGTTATTATATCTTGATTTATTTGTATGAGGATGACATGCTAATTGCATGGCTGATATAGAGAAGATCATTGACTTGAATTAGAGGTTCAACATGGGTGAAGCAAAACCAATTTGCACCCCATTAAGTAATCACTTTAAGCTATTTATCTCGTAAGTCTCAAGTAGAGCAAACACAAATAGGGAGATCTCTGTATGCTTCAACGGTATGAAATGAATTCTCAAGTAGTCAGTAAATACATGAGCAATTCAGACAGACATCATTGAGAGGCAATGAAGTGAATTTTCAATTATTTGAGGGGAACAATCAAGAGAGCACTTCTTATGAAAGTGTTCTTATTGAAGTGTAGGGATCAGTCTACATGGATTTATAGATTCAAACATGACAAGAGATTTGAATGATACAAGTACAAAAGAGTATATCTTCAATTTGGTGAACACAACAATGAGTTGAGTTTTTGGACTACAGAAGATTATTGCACTTTCAATTAATAATGTCGGATACACCCTTATCACTAAATCTAGCAACAATATAATTTGGCTACAGAGCTTTATAACATGACTGGATAAGGAGCGGGGACTGAAAAGCTTCATCGTGACAGCATGAGTGCTATTCATCTTGCTAAGAACACCATTTTCATGTCAGAACAAAGCATATCCACCTGATGTATCAATTTATACTCTCTTGTAAAAGATGAATCATTACTTTTGCAGAAGATAAATACAACTCAGAATCCTACAAACATAATGACTAATGTAATGACCATCGAGAAACTAGAGTTATGCTTGACTTTAGTTGGAGTCTAGGAAGGTTGAGACGGGGAGTGACCCACACTATGGTATAAGATTATGAAGATGATATAGATGATGTAGAACGGGTAGACATGCATCAGGTGCTATCGGCCTCCAAGTAGGAGATGGTTAGAAGGAGTAGAACTGTAGAACCTCTAAAGAGGCGCTCTTGCACCTGAGCATGTCGTCGCCACGCCTGAAACAAGCATAGCTATGTAGGACGGTATGACTACGTCACAACAAGGCATAACTATGATGGGCATTCACTCGATACAAGTCATTAGAAATCGTAAGAGTTGTGCAACTACACTAACTATGAGCATGGTTGTGTCGCGACTCTGTGTCTCAAGTTTGCAAAACCGAGCGTCCAAAATAATTGCGCCAAGGATGGCATGACTACACCAAGGACAATTTCTCTTTCGATTCAGTTCTCAAGTTTCAATTTGAGTGACGAGGCTCTCTCTCTCTCTCTCTCTCTCTCTTTCTCTTTCTCTCACGGGTGCAGTGTTTCTCCATAGGAGTTCTTTTTGAAGGTGAATTGCTGGAAGGGTGATTTTGATCTGGGGGCTTTCTCTTGTGAGATCAAGAAGAAAAGTTCAGAGTAAAATTCGGCAAGTTCCAGTAATTATGAAGAAATTATTAGAGTGTGCATATCTGTACGTTTCACCCATTCATAGTAAAATTTTCAGTGTAATTACATGATTTTTTTCCCATTCTCAAATTATTCCACATAAATCTCAGTGTGTTTTTCTTATATTACATTGTTGTGCTTCTATTCAAATTTTTTTTATTATGAATTTCTTGAATCAGTGTTTCTATTTTTAGCAGAGTGATTTTAATTGTGAACGAATTGAAGCTCTCAATGCATATTCCATCCCAACACTCAGAACCTAGAAATTTATTTATTAGATATAAATAGAATTTCTGCAATTGCCTCATGTAATTCTATCGGTAAACATTTGAAAGCTTTGTATAACTTCACAGAATGTTGTAAGAACCACGAAGGCATTATTTTATTGTGCTAACATTAAAAAGATCAACAAAAAACTTACTCAACAAAATTTTCTGGAACTATTGTCCTTTATCTGCAGTAAAAGTATACATATCTTCGTGTTCCTGGAGCGCTTCACTGCTATTCTGCAACTTCGACAGTGTAGACTTGAGATCAATATTTTCTTGCTTCAGTCTTTCGAGTTCTGCTGCGAGCTCAATATTTTCTTGCTTCAGTCTCTTCACCTCTTCACTAAGACTTGATTTACTTTTCTGCAGAAAATAAAGAATAGATTTACTGTAAGTGCTATGGTAAATAAATATGCCACTCAATTCCTATGTATCTACATATCTAACACCTAAACTTTATTTTTTACATTTATACCACCCAAATCTTTCATATCACATAAAAAATACCATCATTTTAACTTTTAAAAAGAGAAATACACTTCTCATGCATTTGTAAGGTGGTATGTGTGTAAAATTTGAAGTTTAGGTGTTAGATATGTAAATACATAGGAATTGAGTGGTAGGTATGTAAATCTTCCTAATAGAGAAGAACATAAAAAATCATAAGATGAAATGTAAAAAAACAGCATATTTTCTCTTACCATATTTAAATTCATTGTGGGGGAGACCTGAGCTTTCCCTAGCATGTATGGGGCAGATAGCAACACTTCTTTTATGAAATCATTGGCTGCCAAGTCATGAATTCCCATATTTTCATAGCTCCAGAATGCACCAAATGTACCCATGAATCCTTCATGGCATAAGAATGTTATCTGCACTTCACCTTTAGACCTAATAAAAAACAAAATTACCAGAGAAAAAGCCTATAAGGTGACAATGGATTAAAAATAAACCACCATTGCACTGCACTGTTTCTTATCTTTCCAATATATTCAAATAAAAATGCTTGGCTCTTCTTTTTTTAATATTGATTCATTTCATTTTAAGTTATCTTATAAAGTATTACAAAAATGCATTCGATATCAGTTAGGGGGCAAAAATCACTAAATTAAAGTTAGGTATACATTCATACCACAATTTTTACATATTTACATATTTAACACCTAAACATTGATTTCTGCATTTTTATAACACTTTGCATGAAAAAGTAAATGTAAAGATCACAGTTTAGGTGTTGTACAACTAAATACATAAGAATTTTGAAGCATGCATGTAAATCTAAATGGCTAAGGTGAACTGTCCAAGATGGTTAATGAAGTAGGCACTAAATTAATTGAAATTTTGAATGAAGAGGAAATCATTTTCCCATAAATTAAAGCCTTCAAACAGTAAAATATCTGAATAGTTATGCAACAGATTTACATGTAGTAAAATAAAATGATACACTGGCTTCTTAACAGTTGCATTTCTAGACGTTTACCAATATTTTAACGCACGAGAAATCTTATCCATAGTCTTGGCATGGCCGCAAATGTAAGTTCCTCGAAAGAAGATCTTTTTCAGCCCAGATAGTTTTGCAACGAAGTAGGATATCTGCAAAGTATAACGATTAAAAACATGTTCATGATTTTGTTCATGTTCATAATTGAAATGCAAATTCAGGCAGAGAAACTCTAACAAACAGATGGAATGGATGCCTTGTTTCTTTCATTAAAAGAATAATATAATACACCCCAAATAAACCTGCATATAAAATTCAGAAGGTCCCAAAGGGATGAAGTAGATGAATTTGTACCTTCTTTATACAATAAAAAAATGAGGGAGAATGTGATCACACAAGCATCCGTATTGGAAATATAAAGCCCTTTGGATTTTAATGTGCAAGTTAGTTCCGTTAAGTATTCCAATATTTTTATCATAATCAGACATACTTGAAGCACCTTATTGCTAAGTAAACTCAATATACTTAGTTGTTATATAATTAAGGCAAGAAGCAATGATAATAAAACTAAACAATCATCACTTGGTGAGCTGTTTTCATCCAAAGTAGCCGTTATGTAGCAACTATTTGAACTCAACGCAACTCAAATTGTCTATTGAGTGATCATGGCAAATCAAGTGAGACTTGGATTGTAAGAATCCTGATCATACATTACGGCCGACTTAAATGAATTTACAAATGAAAAAATACCCTGATTTATGATTCATCTAAACTTATTTATTGGAAATCTTAATATGGAAAATTAAGAAAATAAAGTTGTCAATCAATAATAAAATAATTCTCTGATATCTATCAATAACTAGAAAAACAAATTATTCTTTTTATTTAAATATATGTCTATATTGTTATTTGTGGAGCATAATTGGTGAGGAGAGTGACCAGAGAGGCGCCCTGGCGCCTGGCAACTGGCTGCACAATGCTTAGGGAGGTGCCCTAGTGTCGGGCAGCAGCAAACCAACTGCTAGGAAGGGCGCCTAGGCACCCAGAGACCGGGTCGTGTACAACCCGACACCCTAACAAGGCGCTCCAGTGCGCACATATGCTCATTTTCAGCTTTCAAAACTGAGTACCAAAAAACTTGACGCCTGTAATTGATTTCTGCATTTCAGAGCTTTTTATAGGTGCGTTTGGGGCAACTTATTGCTGCTTTTGGCGTTTTGAAAACACCCAAATTCTGTTTGGTTCGTGCGTGCCTTCGGCGATTTGAAAACGGGGTTTAGGTTTTCTTAAAAGAAGTGGGCCGCGGGATCGACCCCGCGTCCCGCTTCGAAGAGTGGCGTTTGATCGGGAATTACCTTTTGTGCCCTTCTGCTGAGCATACCGCCTCTCAAGCTAATCCGCACTTCAGAGTTCCCAATCAAGTTGCAGCGATGTCTAGCACGAACATGGAGCGCGACAGTGGATCCAAATACGAAAAGCGGTGGAGCTATAGAGCCGGCTGCCTGAACGAAGTGTTGGCAGCACAGCTGTCTCCGTTCTACTATAATTTCAATTTGGCGGCGGAGAGGGAGTGGATGCCATGGATCGAGTGGATGTTCGTTGCAGCGAACGGTGCATTCTTTGTGGCGGAGAGGGACTGAACCAATGCATTCTTTATGAATGGCAGCGAACTTCCTACTTTTGACATGATGTGTTTTGATCTTTTTGAAGTGTGGATAAGCATAATAAAACTTCTCTCTGGATTTGGAGGTAGCATCTTGTCAACTCTTTTTATCAGGAACAATATATCTGTTGGTGCTTCTGGAGCTTTGTTTAGGCTTCTCGGAGCAATGCTATCATAGCTGATAACAAACTGGACCATCTATACTAACAATGTAAAATTTGTAGCTTTTGCTTTGTGCTTGTATTACTCTTGAATTACCTTAACTTTATTGTTTGAATTTTTTTAATATATAATTTTTCCTCTCAAGGCTGCTGCTTTAATTACACTAACGGTTATGATTGTGATCAATCTGACAATTGGAATAGTTCACCAAGTCTTGCTTTTTTGCTTCTTGTCCGCGTAATTCTTATCTTTATTTGTTATTTTATCAGGTTCAACCTTTTTCTACTGACTCATAGTAGAGATTAGTGACATGTTAGCAACTTCTTTAATTTTATATATTCTTCCCTTCCCTCTATCCATAAATAATACTTGATAATTATTTAACCTTTCTTTCTTATCTAAATGAAATTTCTTAAACCTTAGTAAGACCATGTTATTGCAACCTATGGCATTTATTCCTCTGCTTTCCTAGTTTGAAAATGGAGCTACTTTTGCTTCACATTATCAAATTGGTGGTTCTTTTTGCTTGTGATGGAGGATGGAGAAAGAGATTTTAATTGATGATTTTAATGTTTGACCATCTAAGTACGCTGAGGGGATAAGGCTTTCATATAAGTGTATGATGGAGTTTGGAATATATTTTTGATGTGATTAATTTTATTAAGTATGGATAATGTTGGGGAATCTGATGGAAGTACTTTTAGGATTTGAAAGGCTTTTGAGAGGTGAAGATTTTAGCATAGCTAAGCTCTACCAAGAGATTGTGCATTTTGGTTATGTTTTGGATGCCTGCTTTTGTGCTGCTTTTGTGTGAAGCATAATAGTTTATATACAGAGATATGATTGGCGTAATATTTTTTCGAAAGCTTATAATGATAGGAAAAATTGTCAGTTGTTACGTTTTGTGATGTAAATGTCTTGGCGTGAGGAGATGAAATAAAGAAGGATAGAAAGATTATGATAGATTTTATCAGAGTTGTTAAACTTAGGGAGAAAAACTAAATAAGAGAAAAAAATGTTGAAAATTAGAGACAAGTTTGAGAATAATTGATGAGGACATAAGGATTAAAATAATTGCAAGAAATCACGCTAAATCAACTGTTTTCTAAACGCACAAACCAAACAGCTAGACAACGTATCCAGATCATGGGCGAAATGATTATTTATCCAGAAACAGCTGCAAATCAGTAGTTTTCCAAACGCACAAACCAAACAACCAACCAACTTATCTGGATAAGGTGTTGATCAGCATCTTATTAGGATAAGTTGATTACCTGGATAAGCTGCCCCAAACAAACCCTAAGTCTCGTTTTCCTCGTTGCGGGATATGTAGGCAAACAACGTGAAGCAATGCCTGCAAGTTGTTGGTGAATTCCTAAAAATTTCTCTTGTGAGTTGGAGAGATGAGCACTCGTGAGTTCCATGATTGCAAAGAGAGCTGAGTGTAGTGCAATACATATATTTTTCCTCGTTTCATACTAAATTTCTTGGTGTGGTACGATTTCGTGATTTTTTCTTGTTCTCAGGTTTTTCAGCATTAATTTTTTATGTTCTACTTTTTGGGTTTCTTATTTTTGTGCTTCTATTTAATTGTTTGCTTCAGATCTCTCAAACCGGTGTTTTTTCTGCAATTCTAGAGAAGTAAATATCCCACAACAAGTGGTATCACAAAGAGATTTTCTCATAATCTTTGATTCGTGTGGGATCAATGACTAATGAAGTAAAGTAATAAGTAAAAAAGTTAAATGATACAAACTTTGCGTTTTAAAAAATACAAATTGAAAAATTACACTCAAAAGAAACTGTGCTAGCCACTAGAAAGAATTACCAAGAAGTATGAATCGAAGGCTAGAAGAATGAGAGGTGTTTAACCAACCCATACTAGATTTGAACCATATTTCACTTTTCTCATTTGTTGCTTTCAACATTTTGAATGAGAAAATGATGGTGGATCCCACGGCAGTACTAACAAGAATGTATGAGAAGCCTTCAAACTCAAATAAAGTTTTTCTAATGAAGAGATTGATTAATATGAAGATAATGGAGCATTGAATAACTTCATCACTGTGACAAACCAATTGCATTCTGTGAGCATCAAATTCAATGACGAGGTGAAGACAGTGTTACTCCCATCTTTATTGTCCGATAGCTGGGATGGATTGATCATGACAACTCTTCAGGTGAAAAGATGCTAACTTTGATGACATTGTGTGATTAGTGTTGAATGAAGAAGTTTGCAAGAAGGAGAGCAATGAAACTTCAAATTCTGCATCAAATGTTGAAAACAAATGAAGGAAACAAGACAGAAACACAGGCAAGGGCAGATTTAAGTTCAGAAAAGGAAATTCCATGTTACAAAAAAAAAAGATAGAGAGTGTTAGAACTTCGGGCATAAATGTCACATTAAGAAAGGTGAGCATCAAGTTCAATGATGAGGTCAGGACATTGTTACTCCCATCTTTATTGTCCGATAGTTGGGATGGATTGATCACGACGACAACTCTTTAGGTGAAATGATGTTAACTTTGATGGCATTGTGTGGTTAATGTTGAATGAAGAAGTTCACAAGAAGATGAGCAATGAAACTTCAAATTCTGCATCAATCGTTGAAAACAAATGAAGGAATCAAAACAGAAGCACAGGCAAGGGCGGATTTTAGTTCATAAAAGGAAATTCCATGTTAGAGAAAAAAAGATAGAGGAGAGTGTTAGAACTTCAGGAAGAAAGGTCAGAAGGAGTGCAAAACTTCGAAAAAAACTGATGGTCGAGAGCTATCTAAAAATTTCTCTACAAATGTCTGCACAGATTAAATTCAATGTGACTCTCTAGTTTTATTCCTGGATGGTACTTAACCTTGGATAGTGTATTCAGGTCCCTCTTTTCATGCTTGTCTAAATAAAGAAATTTTTAAAAACTACACTCGGAGAAATCTAAGGAAGGCATATTTGAGAGAAAGCAAGGGCTTTAGTATCGTAGAAAAGGATGATATTAATATCAGATTGCCAAATGTATCAGTCAAGAAGCTTAATGAAGTTAGATATATTCAATGTTTAAAGAGAGTTGAACTCGCTGAGCCAGTTTGCAAGGTCAGGGAATGTAACTATTTTTACAGGTGATTCGTGGAAAATGACTAAAGGGGCAATAGTGATGCTCGAGCAAACATTGAAGGTACTTTTTACTTAATCAATAAGAAAGTTGAATAAATTGATGTAGTTGGAACAAAGATTAATACAGGTCTTTAGTATCGTAAGTTTGGTCATATAAATGAGAAATATATGAAGTCTCTACTTTCTAAGAACAAGCTTCAAGTTTTAAAGTCTATAGAAGTAAATTTTTGTGAAGATTGTGTATATGAGCAAAAGAATGTTACTGATACCATAACTAGTTATAAAATCAGCGGAAACAAAAGCAAAATTTTATTGATATTGAATTAGGGTTACAAAATGACTCAAACTGAAAAGAAAAATACAACAATACGACTCGCTGGCTAGGACCGGAAGAAAAGATTTGAGAGTGATGGCGGCATCAGCAAAGTGGTTAGGGAGGGAGTCAGGGTCGAAGGTTGTGGAGTGGGTAAAGAGAGTGATTTGGGGGTTAGTATGTGGGCTGGCGGAGTGGGGCCGGGTAGAAGAATGCAGAAAGTTTGGTGACCGGGTTCTGGGGTAAGGATGGATGGTTGGATAGCCCTTGTGTGTTGCAAGAAAGGGGAGGCAAGGTACTGGGGTGAAGGCCGGATAGTTGGACAACAATAATATGATGCAGGAAAGAGCCAATAGGGTGCTGGGGTGGAGGCCAGAGGGTTGGACAGCAATAATTTCTTGCAGGAAGAGGCGGCAGAGTTCTGGAATGTAGGTTGGATGGCTACACAGCAAGGATGTCCTGCAGGAAAGAGGCGAAAGGGTGCTGTGTTGCAGGTTGGAGAGGCCAGCAGCTAAGGGAAGTGGAGGAGGTGCATGGAAAATGATAGAGGAAGTTACAACAACATCTCGGAGCAGGATACAACCGAAGCACCACCCATCGATAGATACGACCCTAGCAAGGAGAGTTGAAGTCTCCAAGGGACATTCTGAAATAACAAGAAGCAAAAACTAACCTTAAGAAGCGAAACAACACATAAATAATAGCTAATAGATAAAATATGAATGGAAGTTTTCTCCCTTTAAGGCGAAAACCAGAAAGAAAAGAGAAAGAAGCGGCAACAGGGAAATAGAGGAGGTGGGGAAAATAAAGTAGGTGGGGGGGGGGGGGGGGGGGGGGGTGCGAGAAGGGGTAAGCAGCAAATCCTGCATGTAGAAGGCCGACCAGTCCAGCAGAAGGTTGGACCAGATCTTCCCCAGGCCGGTTCAGGCGAAACTCGCGTCCCTCACACATCCCGCTCACCTCCTGCACGCATCCCGCTCTCCTACCGCTCGCATCCCGCTCTTCTACCGCTCGCATCCCACGTACTGCACCCTGCTTCCATCCCAACCCTCACGACAGTTACTTTCTCAAAAAGTTGGTCAAATGTTAAGTCCAAAAAGCTAGAGCTAGTGCATACTGATGCATGATGTCCCACTCTAGTTAAGGCTATTGAAGGTTCCCATGATCACATTAGAAAGGTATGAGTGTACTTTTTGAAACTCAAATTTGATATATTTGAGGTGTTTTAAGAAGTAGAAGGTCATATTTGAGAATGATACAAGTTTGAGCTGAAGTATCTCAAATAAGATAATGATGGTGAATATCTTGATCAGAGATTCAGGAACTATTGTGCATCAAAAGGAATCAAAGGCAGGGTCAAAATTTTAAGGATATCACAACAAAATAGTGTGGTTGAGCACATGAATATAACCATCACAGAGCGTACTAAGAATACGAAGTTGAATGTAAGCTTGCCAAATCAGCTCTGAGCAGAAGCAGATAATGCTGCAGATAATCTGATAAATTGCGACTCGTCGGTACCTTTGAGGAGAGACTTACAGAAAAAAGCCTAAGATAAATCTATCTCATATGAGAGTATTTGGTTATTCATCATTTGTTCATGTTGATGCGGAACCCAGATATAAGCTCAATTTAAAATCAGTCAAGTGCACTTTCATTGGATATGAAATAGATGAATTTAGATATAAGTTCTAAGATTATCAAAATCAAAAATTTATTATGAGTAAGGATCTTATTTTCAATGAAATGAAAATGTATAAGGACAAAAACAAAACTTAAGATTGTCCATCAATGAATTCTGAAGATTCTTTTAAATATGTTTGAGATAGAAGATTTTGGTGATCAGAAGATCAAGAAATGAGAGGTGCTCAATATGAAGAAGCACAAAAATTTCCCCAGTCACTAGACTCACCTACTGGTGAAGTATGAAGGTCCAAAAGAATCAAACGACCAATACACAAATGTATTCTCCTTCTTTGTAGTATTTTTTGTCAATTGATATTGGTAAACTGAAGTACTGTGAAAAAGCTACTCGAGTTAAAGACTCAAAGAGTGTGAGTTTATCATAGACGACGAGAAGCAATCACTTAAGTCAAATTAGACATAGGATTTGGCATAACCACCAGATGACAAAAAACACTGCACAACAAGTGGATCAACACTAAAAAAAGTTAAATGGTAGCAATCACTACAAAGGAAGACTTATGGAGAATGCTTTTCAACATAAGGAATAAGCGGACTACACTGAGATATGTAGTGAAGATGAAAACTATCAGAGTTGTGCTGAGCTTGGTAGCAAATGGAAATTTACAACTGAAGTAGATGGATGTGAAGACATCTTTCTTACAAGGTGATCTAGAAGAGGAACAATAAAAGGTGCAACTGAAGAGATATGACGTTTCAAATAAGGACGTTGTCTATAAATTGAAGAAAAGGCTTTATGATCAGAAGCAGATCTCAAGACAGTGGTACTGAAAAATTTGATAGGTTTATGTCAGATAATGAGTACATAAAATGACAAGCAATCCACTATTGCTTCATCAAATATCTTGGTAATTATTATATTGTGCTTTTATTATATGTGAATAACATGATGATTGCAGGAGCATATATGGAGAAGATCAAAGACATAAAGGAGCAATATCAAAAGAGATTGAGATGAAGGAATAGGTCCAATCAAGAAAATCTTCAATACGAGAATCAGCGAGGATATGAGTGTAGGTATGATGAAGTTTTCTTGGGCAGAGTATTTTGAGAAAGTCTTACATATGTTCAACATGAGTAAGATAAAGCTCAAATCAAACTTGAATAATAGTGAATTTAAAAGAACCGAGCTTAAACAATATCCCAGATGCTCAAATCAAGCTCAACCGTACTTCGAAAGGCTTTGAGTAATCAAGCTTGAGTTTGAATAGGCTCCAGCATGGCTCGACTCGGTTTGTTTTCAGCATTGGCTACTTCACTCCATAATCCACACTCTTAATTCCACTAATACATATACATTAGAACACTCTCTACTTCTCAATCTAATATTGTCTTACTATCCACACGAATAATTTTCTCAACTGCATAGATAACTCCCTTAGCGTTGAAACTGTTTCCAAATTGAATCTGATGGATCGTCGCACCGCGACACTTAGTTTGGTAGTGCAAAAGCACTACATACACATTTTATGGATTAATTTAAGAAGGTATAGCGCTGTCAAGAAATCATTAAGAGACTCAAAAGGTATCAAAACAAAAGGGAACCAAATATGCTTGTAATTGATTTTTAATATTTATAAGAAAATTCCCTTCATAAAAGCATCCCCTACTTGATAAGAAAGTTTTTGACAGCTAAGGAAATGAAAATAAAGAAGATAATTAAAATAACAATAAAAAGAAACTCTGAAAGATCTTCATTAAAGTCCTGATAAATGAAAGAGCCCTCTAAATAAATAGGCACTTTGCTTGCATCTTTATCTTATCAATAATACTTATAGGAATGATTTCCAAATATTGCCGGATTCAATATAGACAGGTGATCATATGCAATGATTGTGCTCTCTATCAAAGTAGCATAACAGAAGATAATAACATCCTTTTGCAAAGATGCATTCAAATCTTCCTATGGCGACACTTATTCACAGCTAAAGATTATGTATTTATGTTTAAATTTTCTAATGACACTATTGCTGATGTTTGCCATAAGTTTTATTGTTGGACCTGCACCAATGAATACTTGTTTGGAATTTCCTGATACGGAGCTTTATAATTGAATATCATTTAAAGCTTCTGAATTATAAAATGAACCTTTGCAATATATATATAATATATATATATATATATATATATATATGAAAACAAATTTGTATGAACTACTCGTCAAAAATTGAAAGCAAAACCCATCACGTAAAATTTTCTATGAATGAAATAGACTATAATATCTGTGAAATGCACCTTCAAAGAGGTAAAACAAATCTCATGCAATAAGAAAAGCAGAAGGGGGTACACAATGGCAATGAAAATGCTAGAAAGGCCAACATTAAAGACTTACTTGTCCAATATTATATGTAAAAGCATTCAATAGAGCAGCAGCAAAGTCCTCGGCTTTGTAATCAGAAAGCTTATTAGAAGTAACTTTCCCAAAACTAGATGCCGTTGTTGTCGCTGGAAGACCTATCTGTAATTTGTGCAACAATAAATAGATTATTTTTAGCAGAAAAAACAGAAATAATTATAAGCAATCCTAGAATAAAGCTCTATTGAAACACCTCCTTTAAGGTAATACTTTGGACATCATCATTTGACCGTAAGAGAATTGATGGAAAGTAGACACTATTTAAAGGCATTCAGAACAGATGACATGTTTTAGAAATTCTTAAAGTTAATAAAAAACCATTCTTTCATTTGATACTAGAATGAAACTATCCACAACATATCAAGCATGTCTTCCCTTTCTTTAGAATCAAATTTATGGACCAACTAAGAAAATATCTATATTTATATGAAGTTCATTAACAGATATAAATGGTGTGCAACCCTTGCTCACTATGAAGCAGCTCATCTCAAACAAATAAAATTAAACCCTAATTCTTTCTCAAATGAAATTTAGAATAAAAGGCCCAAAATAATTCCCAAACTATTCATATATGACCAATTTACTCTCAAAGTACTACATTTCTCTAATTCAAACACTCAACCATACAAAATTAATCCCACATGGACACAAAATTAATTCCAATTTAACCTCACGACTATAAAAAATTAAGCTCATGTTAGTTTCTAGCCCAAATTTGATATAAACCGGAGTCAAAACCAACGAGCAAATTACAATAAATATGTGGGAAAGCCCAAGATTGGGCTAATTTGATTAATATCAAAGTATACAAATAAGATACAAGGAGAGATTATCAATTTGAGAGGTAGATCGTCTCTCTACAAACCCTAGATGCCACTAAGAACACAAAGAAAAGAAAACTGCAGTGAATCAAAACACACCACAAACCCTAGCCAATTAGCCCAAATAAATACTCTCCCCTTGGATCTCCCGTCAGCAGGAGCAAGCATATCAAAATCTTACACGAGTTGACCCAAACCCAAATACTTGTCGGGTTTGAATATCCACAGTTGAAACCCCTTGCTATGATGGATCGTAGGGTCTTTTGAGCCCAAAGGCCAAAAGGCTTGGTTCAACTTGATAAAATCCTATCTAGGATTTAACTAGTGGAAACTTTGTCCATGGTACATTAGCACCTGAGAGCTAAATGTGATTGAGTCATTGTATGAGTCGATAAAATTGAGTTGCTCAAAAAAGAATCACCATGACTAAAAGCTTGTCAAGGTGGGTTTTCTTCAATCACAGAGACCAAAATGGTGGGTTGTAGGTTATTTGTATGACCTTCGAGTCTATCTATAGCTTCATAAAGTCAACCATGATATAGTCAGTGCTGCAAAGAGGCTGCCTGTTGAATTAGGGTAGAGTTGTCAAATAGAATGGTAAAATTCAATTTGATCATTGATAATCCCATGATCCTTGACCTTCTAAGAGGTCTCAACAATCACTAGATGCTGTTCAAAAATAAATTAAAGCACAAAACCCTTTGAAAAGAAAAAGTTCATTATTTTTTAAAAGGAAGTCCTTGGAAAATCTTAATCATTTTTGTTTCAAATTTTTCAAAAGCTAGTGCAAAGCAAGAATTGCCGAGAACATCTGGAAGAACATCAAACCTACAATTCAAAGAAAAACTATGAGGCAAAGTTTATAACTAAAATCACAAACCACTTGGTTTGTTCAAACTCGCAACTTGATGAATAGAAGTATGCTAATCAAGATATCAGATCCAGTTATATCAATCAAACTCAATTTTCTTTGGAGCATTCAAAGATCTTGTTACTAAATGTAAAAAGAAAACATTGGTTTACGAAATAATGGCACAAAATCTCCATTCAATTCAAAATTATTATTGGAATATCAGATTACATCGATTAACTTGTTGCTACAACATGCATGGCTTGAAGTCAATTATTAAACTCAATTAAAAATTTCTAATTTATATTATTCATAAATTAATCCAATTATCCTATTGGCTCTTTCATTAAAATTCAAATTATTTAACCTAAACTTATACTGTGATACCACTTTTATAACGATCCTTCCTGTGACTTGGAATTAATTAAGATGAGAACGGACGGTCAGACAGTGAAAAGTATAATTCTGTTATTCTATTTCTATTACTGACAATTCAATATTCAAAATAATACATAAAAGAGCCACTAAAGAAAACAATAAAAATTAATAACTAAAAATTTGTACATTTCTGGTGGTTGTTCTCGCCTCCTATATATATTTACTCATCTTTCAGTCATCCTGTTTAAACGTTTAAAACCTAAAAATAATATTAAAACTGCATAATGAGTTATCTAAAAATAACCCAGAAGTAACCGCACTTCTAAACTATTAATTTAATGAAATGAATTCAATATGTACGCAGGTCTATAAAAAATCTTGTAATATGTTAGTCTTTCATATTTTTTAAGCAATTTCATATATGCTTATAAGCAATCTGATATATAATAATGCATGCATCAATGATCTTTTCAAAATGAAAATACTAATCTTCTATAAATATTTACTTTAATTTTACTTTTACATTATATTTACATGCATATTTGTCTCTGTGAAAATCATCATCAACAAAACCTAACACAGACTTGGCCAATATTGCTCTATCGGTTCCCGTCGGCTCAGCAGTTAGCAATCTACACACCGCAATTATCTAGCATGTTAAGACCCTTACCTGCCCCCGACCGATATTATCATGTCGGCACAACGGTTAATAATGTAAACATTACAATTGTCTGGGGAGCTCAGTTTTGGTCTACTCGCCCCCGACCGATATTATTCTGTCGACAAAGCGGTTAGTAATCTAGTCATCACAATTGTCCAGTGTGATAGAAAAAAATCTACGCATGTGGGCACAATGGCATTCTCTATCTTTACCATTAAAAGATAAAATTCTTCCTTGAACAAACACATACAAACATTCATATATAAGTTATTTTACTTTCATACATTAACCTAAACTTATACTGTGATACCACTTTTATAACGATCCTTCCTGTGACTTGGAATTAATTAAGATGAGAACGGACGGTCAGACAGTGAAAAGTATAATTCTGTTATTCTATTTCTATTACTGACAATTCAATATTCAAAATAATACATAAAAGAGCCACTAAAGAAAACAATAAAAATTAATAACTAAAAATTTGTACATTTCTGGTGGTTGTTCTCGCCTCCTATATATATTTACTCATCTTTCAGTCATCCTGTTTAAACGTTTAAAACCTAAAAATAATATTAAAACTGCATAATGAGTTATCTAAAAATAACCCAGAAGTAACCGCACTTCTAAACTATTAATTTAATGAAATGAATTCAATATGTACGCAGGTCTATAAAAAATCTTGTAATATGTTAGTCTTTCATATTTTTTAAGCAATTTCATATATGCTTATAAGCAATCTGATATATAATAATGCATGCATCAATGATCTTTTCAAAATGAAAATACTAATCTTCTATAAATATTTACTTTAATTTTACTTTTACATTATATTTACATGCATATTTGTCTCTGTGAAAATCATCATCAACAAAACCTAACACAGACTTGGCCAATATTGCTCTATCGGTTCCCGTCGGCTCAGCAGTTAGCAATCTACACACCGCAATTATCTAGCATGTTAAGACCCTTACCTGCCCCCGACCGATATTATCATGTCGGCACAACGGTTAATAATGTAAACATTACAATTGTCTGGGGAGCTCAGTTTTGGTCTACTCGCCCCCGACCGATATTATTCTGTCGACAAAGCGGTTAGTAATCTAGTCATCACAATTGTCCAGTGTGATAGAAAAAAATCTACGCATGTGGGCACAATGGCATTCTCTATCTTTACCATTAAAAGATAAAATTCTTCCTTGAACAAACACATACAAACATTCATATATAAGTTATTTTACTTTCATACATACATTATTTTCAAACATCTTTATCCAATCTACTAACATGCATATTTATTATTCCTCTGTTGTACAACTACCATCATGCATCTCTAATATCATTCATACATCAATCTCATGCATATCTCTTATTTATATCATGCATGTCATTTTTTATCATGTTTATCATATGTATCTTTCCTATCACATATATTGTGCATATAATGTATATCATACATATCATACATCTCATACATATCTTTCATGCATATCTATCATGTCTAGTAATACAAAGAATCTATTGTAATATAATATGACTAGAGTGCATCATGCATGTAATCAACAAGCACTTTGAAATAAAGACGATTGCCGAAATTTAGAAATGTAATTACTCACCTCAATTGCCACACTAGGTTCTCAATCTTGAATAATTAGTTGAACGTTTGATAACATTTATGTTGAATGCAATAACCCATAAAACATGATATTAAATTTTAATATTGAAGCAATTTGTTAATCGAATTAACCTCTTAACTTAGGAATAACATACCAATTTTTTTACAAAGCCTTCTTACGAATAGCTTTCAAATGCTTGCCTTGAACCTGCCGCGTCAGACAAATTACCTAGAATCCAGAATAAACATTGGATTTAAAGATATATTTGTTCACAAAAAGAAATTTAACTGAAAAAAAAATAAATTTCTTACTACAAATAAGCTTCTCGGCACAGTCCACCTTTCCGAATCTGTCAAATATTCTTCCATATTCTTCCTATGTTCCAATAGCCTCTTTCCTTCGCTGATATTTTGCTAAAACCCCTACAATCTCCTCCTTCCCTTTGTTGAAATCGTCCTAAAACCCCTACAAAAACTCGCAAACCACTTACAACCCTTTCAATACAAATTTTGCACCTCCGACGACCGTCGAAAATGAATAATACATAAAAAATAAGGCAAACCTCAAAACTAAAGAGTGTGGAAGGACATGAAAGTCTCAAACATCGCTAAAATCAACTTCGCACTTTCAGATTTCATCCTGAAACTCGGATTCGTGGCCTACACCTCTCGGCATGCCGCTCACCTTTTGTAGGTCGCGACTGTGGGTCACGGTTGTGCTCAACCCACGATTTTTGCTACAGAAGCAGCGCGGGAGCCCCTCTCTCGAGCACGATAAAGACAAGGAAAGAGGGATGTGCAACGAAACCGGCAAGGTAAAAGGTTCGAAGGCTATGGAATGGGGATTAACCCCACTCGATGCCATCCACAAAGTTATAATGCAGGGGGTAATGTTGGAGTGAACAGTAACCATGCATCATTAAAAATTAATTATATTTAATTAAGTTAATTAAACATATTACTTCAATGTTTTATATCTCTCAATCTATTCATAATTAATATGTATGGTGTTTTGTATCAAAGTGCTCGATTTGAAGTGTAGAAGTTTATAAAAATGTTTCGATTGAAATTCGAGGGATCCGAAATTTACTGTACATTTTCAGTTACCAAAATTTTTTATCAGATTTATTAAAAATTGGTTATGACAAGATTAGGAAATGAGGTAGGAATGGTTGGGATCTAGTGGAAATTTTTTTTGAAATTTAAGATTGGGATAAGAAAGATAACTCTAAAAAATATAGGGATTACCGGGTTTTGATACAAAATGATACCAATCTAGGGCTCTTAGAAGGTGTTTGCGAAGCGAGTTTGACAGGGAGGAGGTAGAGAAATACTAAGGGAATGAAATTTTGGGAAATTGACGATATTTGGAAGGGGATAGACGATGTTCGATGGCTGTCCCTACTGACAAATATCAAGGAAAATCATGAAGCATTGTGGCACAGATATCGATGAGGGTGTTGACTAAAATTTCAGCATGAATAACAATGGACCAGTGAACCGAAACTGATAAAAGCAGTTTTCTTGTTGCAAACAACAGTTGGCTGCGAATTGATGTGATGGAGGCTAATAGAGCATTACTACCTCAATTCTATCATGCGACAGACACACCGTTTAAAATAAATCTAAGGATACAACACTCCAATAGAGATAACCAGGAGAAAACATCTCCAAATAATATAAACCAAATCAGAAATCTCTTCAAAATGGAAAAAAACAAACATATAAATAGTTCTCCTACATAAATAAACATAATTCTAATTAAGGTAATTATTAAAATACTAATAAGGAGGGTCCCACAAGGCTAAGATAGCGGAGGGAACCAAGAAAAGCTCGACTAACACTGTAGCAGGGGTCGCGAGACCCTTCTCTGCTTTGATCTCACGATCGGAATCACATGAAGCAGAAAGACTCCTACGTCATAGGGCGCTTTAACAAGATCAATGTTCATACTTTCATTGGTCCACATATCAACTTTGTAATGCCTTCTTTCACATAGGCCATGCATTTCCTAGTATCGTTACCTTACATTTCATAGAGCCAGTGCATTGCAATCAATGCATGTGATTGTCAATAAGATAGAATATAAAATATATTTGCAAAATGCATGAGAAACGACGAGCAATATCATAATTAAAAATAGTTTTGGGAGGCCAAATATTTTCCAACATCATGAACATTATACCTTGAATCGATATTTGTCTAAGTCCCTCCACATTGATTAAAAAGATGCTTGTAAAATATATACATATCATAGTTCGACATAATATTTTTGCACATAAAATAACTTTGAATCAACAAAAAATTAGAATAATGGTGATTTTTCTTAAGAGGCGACTAAAGAATTAGCAGAACAAACTTTTGAGTACATAGTAGGAGATTTTAAAGTTGAGAAATTAAGAATTTTTAATTTATTGGCACATTAGAAGATACCTACAAGTGAAAATAGAACTATTTTGAATCATCGTCTAAAAGGAAGTGTTGAAGGTCACAATATAACTTCAAAAAATAAAATATAAGAAACACCTTTATGTTTTTTGTCATAAAAAAATATAGAAACTTGGGGTAAGAAAAATATGAAGTTATAATAAAACTAACTACATTATATAGGCATGGATAAATAAAAGTTTTAATGGAAAAATTGTGCGTGAAATGAGAAAATTAAGATATATGTGCAAAAAAATTAGAAAGAATAGAACTAACAATAATTTTATTAAATAGACAATAAGAGTAGTAACTACTGAGAATAACATGGATAAAATAAAGGAAGTTTGGATACATATAAAAAAGGGTAAGAAAAAAGTATCATTAAAATGGGTGGAAAGATTTAAAATAAAATAAAAAGCAATAGTTAACATCTCATATAGCACCCAACAAGAAAAAGAGGAGGTTTATTGAAGTTAGCTTGGATTAGGCTAATCAAAGTGATGATGATTAACTAAGGATTAATCAATATAGCTATTCTTGATATAGGATCTGAATAATAAAAATTGCAAATAGACCAAATAGCATCTTGATTATTTCCAAAGGCCCCAAATGATTTCAAACCATGTAAAAGGTCAATTTAGTCCCGTACTATATAAATAAAAACCAAAGGGTCTCCGACAGGACTATTTGTCTTTATTTAAGGAATTCAGTGACTATTTTAGTCCTTAATAAATAGTTTGCAGAATAAATTAACCTTTTACATAATCTGATACCATTTTGGCCCTCTAAACATAGTCAGGGGACCATTTTGATTCTGTTCTACAAAAAAATTAAGCATGAACTAGGATAGTTTGAAGAACCACTAAAATGATTCATGCAGCATTTTTCAAAATGAGATGGCGATAAGTAATAATCAAGCATCTTTACAAATGGAACACTCAGCGTAGCTACTGAATCAGCTCTCATATTAAAACAATAAGAAATAATACCTTAGGATAACCATGTTCACCATAGATATCACCAACAGTCAGGTCGACAGATAAATTATCTCCTCTTTGGCTCAACTCTAAAAAATCATCATAACTAAAGCCCCAAAAACAAAATGGAAATTCAACTACTGTAAGACAAATTTCAGTGTGACAAACATCATACAGCAATGGCAGTGTTAATACTGAAAGTCAGTTACCTCAAACATCCAGTCAAGAGCCTGGCTAAACCAAGTATAGTGCCACCACCAAGATGGGTTCCAATGATACGCTCAAACTTCCCTTTTCCAATCACCTGATTATTAAAGCACATATTTAGTTTCATGAAATCTATCTTACAAAAAAGAATGATGCATTCACTAAATTAGCATTAATTAGCAAAAAACATACCTCGATCATACTAACACCAGAACCAATATTGACAAGTAGATATGGAAATAAGCTATCTTCACTAAGTTCAGTTGTTAATTTATCATCATCAGCTTTAAAAGAATCATCATGGAATTGCTGTGTAATTATTATAAGACAAAACCATGTATAAGAATAAATTTAATGGAATTTGTATCAATGTATGTCAAAAATGACACAATTAATGCCAGTTCTATAGGATTGAATGAATATGAAAGCCATCATTGCCAAAAGAAATTCTAACATGTCTCTTAAGTAATCACCATTTACCATTAAAAAAAATATTAAATTTTGTAGTTTTTGTGAGCGGAAAATTTATTATTCCGCATCAATTCCATAGAAGAACAACTAGAAGTTAAATAGAGAAGGATAGCTCCCTTATTGGAAAAATAATAATATTAGTCATAACTCCCATAATAAAAAAAGGAAACAAGAATTATGATATCTCAATACTAGACGGTACTAAAAACATAAAATACTAATACTAAGAGAAACTCAATATCCAACACACCTCCTCAAGTTGGAGCATGGATAACTGTCATGCCCAACTTGCTTAAAAGAAACTCAAAATTAGGTTTGAATTGTCCTTTGATGAAGATATTCGCTACTTGTTGAGCAGTAGGAATAAATGGCATACAAATAGCTCCACAATAAATCTTCTCTTTTATGAAGTGTCTATCAATCTCCACATGTTGTGTGATCATGCTACACAAGATTTTATGCAACACTTGTGGTTGTTTTATCATCATTGTACAATTTCATTGGCATGTATATCAACATCTGCAACTCTTCAAGAATTCTTCTCAACCGTAACATCTCACATACTCCATTAGCCATAACCATAACTCCCATAATAAAAAAAAGGAAACAAGAATTATGATATTTCAATACTAGACGAAACTAAAAACAGATAATGCTACTACTAAAAGAAACTCAATATCCAACACAACTCCTCAAGTTGGAGCATAGATAATTGTAATGCCCAACTTGCTTAAGAGAACCCCAAAATTAGGTCTGAACAGTCCTTTGGTAAAGATATTTGCTACCTGTTGAGCAGTAGGAATAAATGGCATATGAATAGCTCCACGATCAATCTTCTCTTTTACGAAGTGTTTATCAATCTCCATATATTGTGTGATCATGTTGCACAAGATTTTATGCAACACTTGTGGTTGCTTTATCTTCATTGTATAATTTCATTGGCATGTATATCAAAATCTGCAACTCTTCAAGAATTCTTCTCAACCATAACATCTTACATACTCCGTTAGCTGTAGCCATAACTCCCATAATAAAATAAAGGAAACATGATTTATGATATCTCAATACTAGATACTAAAAACAGATAATACTAATACTAAGAGAAACTCAATGTCCAACACAACTCCTCAAGTTGGAGCATAGATAACTATCATGCCCAACTTGCTTAAAAGAACCTCAAAATTAGGTCAGAACAGTCCTTTGGTGAAGATATTCGCTACTTGTTGAGCAACAGGAATAAATGACACACAAAAAGCTTCACAATCAATCTTCACTTTTATGAAGTGTATCAATCTCCACATGTTGTGTTATCATGTTGCACACGATTTTATACAACACTTGTGGTTGTTTTATCATCATTGTATAAATTCATTGGCATGTATATCAACATATGCAACTCTTCAAGAATTCTTCTCAACCATAACATCTCACATACTCCATTAGATAGCCTTCTATTCTGTCTTAGCACTACTGCATACATCCACATTTTATTTCTTATTTATCCATGTGACTAGGTTTCCCCTAGAAGTTGATCTCATGTCAATAACTGAGTCTGCCCAATCTGCATTAGTGTACATCGCTATGTTTTTTTATGTGGTCTTCTGAAAGAGCAAACTTTTATCTGGTGTACTTTTTAGATATCCGAGAATGTTGTTAACTGCTTCAAGGTGTTTCTCATAGGACGAATGCATAAAATAACATATCAAACTCACGACAAAGGCAATGTCGGGTTGTATATGTGATAATAATATTGATTTCCTCACTCATTTAAGTTTCCTTGAGAGGATCAAGCACATACTTTTGCTGAGAGACAACAATTCCTTTCTTCAATCGAGCAATCTGTATATCAAGGAAGTACTGTAGAGATCCTAAATCCTTGGTTTCAAAAATAAATTATAAGGAATTCTTCAAATTATTCACACATGCATCATTTCCTCTGAGAATAATATCATTAACACACAATCAATATGGTTATTTTCCTATCATTGGAATTTTCGGAGAACATTGTATGATCTCCTTGCCCTTGAGTGTAACATTGACCTTTAAATAATAGTGTAAATTTCTCAAACCACGCTTTCGGTGACTACTTCAACCCGAATAAGGATTTTTTCAGTTTATACACTTTTGTGTCAAACTTCTCAATAAATCCTACAGGTGCATTCATATATACTTCTTCATCCAAGTTCCCATTGAGGAAGTCATTTTTTATATCCAATTGTTATAGAGGTCAGTCAAGATTTGTTGTAAGTGACAGAAAGAACCTTACAGAATTGAGCAACTGGAGCAAATATCTTTAAAAAATCAATGTCATAGGTTTAAGTGAATCTCTTGACGAACAATCAAATCTTGTACCGTTCTAGAGAACCATCAAAATTATACTTTGATTGTTAAAAACCAATTGCAACCGACAATTGTCTTTCCTTTAGGAAGAGCAACCAATTTCAACGTGTCATTTTTTCAAGGGTTTTCGTCTCTTTAAAAATAACCTTCTTCCACTTAGGGACTTTCAAAGCATCCTGCAAAGTACTTGGGATCTCCATACATAGCAATAATGAGGTTAAAGTATGGAAAGTGGGTGAAATATTTTTATAAGACACATAGTGAGGCAGAATATAGTGGGACGATTGATGTTGAGTGCAAGACTTTTCCCCAAAGAAAAAACTATTACTCATTAAACTCAAAACTAGAAGACTCAGAAGTTGAAGAGGAGGTGGCCTGAACATAAGGTAAATGATTAGTGAGGACATTACTAGGAGGGTTCAAGAATTATGGGCAATGAAATGAATTCGTATATTCTTTCTTTTAAGTTGACAGTCGTGAGTAGAGAAGATCAAACGCTGCTACTATCGCAGTTCCTTTTGATGCTCTTCTTTGTTGTGAACATCATGAAATGACATTCTACGAATTTCAATATCTAAAAGGCTCCATGCATTTTCTCCTGATAAGATTTCGCAAAGATTTTCAGATTGAACATTCAAGATTGGGGATATGCTATTTTTTGAGTCTTCAGTTTGAAAAACATCCTGAAATTCAAAGAAAAAATCTTTGTTTTGTTCTCTCCCTATAAAAAGAGTTTGAAAAAAAAAGGTTGAAGTTCCAAAAAGATGACATCTAATATAACAAATATTTTTTCAGTAATGGGATCAAAGTATTATACCCCTTTTAGCTTGGAGGCATAATCAACAAACATACATTTTTTGGCTCAGGATTCAAGTTTCCATTGATGATGAATGTGAAGGAAAACTATACACCCAAATATCTTTAAAGAAAGAAAAGTTGGGAACCAATTCTTTCGAAAGTTTATTTGAAAATATCAAAAGGTGTTTCAGAGTATAAGGCCTTATTGGCTATTTTAGTTATGAGAAATGTTTTAATAAGAATAGCTTCACCCCAAAGTTATTTAGGCACCTAATTGATAAATAACAAGTCCAAAGCTATCTCCAAAAAGTGTTTGTTTTTCCTTTCACCCAACCAATTTTGTTGTGAAGTGTTCACACAAGAGCTTTGATGAATTATTCATTTTATCAAGAAAGAATTGACCTGCAGTGTTTTTAAATTACTCTCGATCATTGCTACTCTGTAATATTTGAATTGTTATTTAAAATTGGGTTGTCAAAATGACTTGTTGTTCACGAACAGCTCGTGTTCGGCTCATTAAGAAACTCGTGTTCGACTCGTTCGCTAAGTTAACGAGGCGAACACGAACCAATATTTGCTCGTTCGTGTTCGGCTCGTTTTGGCTCGAAATACTACTATATATATATATATATATGCTGGCCGTCCGACACTTGTGAGAAGGGTCTAAATCTTGCCACCCCTATTTCTTTTAATATTCTGCTTGAGCTTGTTAAATTTTGCTTGCTTATGGTTTTGATGCCTCGATTGACAGATGGAGTTTGTTCTACATTTTTCCTTCGATTGTTTAGGTATGCACTTGTTTGATTATGTGTTGTTTGTTTCATGAATATGCAGATAGTTTAAAATTTATCTTCCAAATATATATATATATATATATTTGATGAGTAGTATTTTTAAAAATTTAATTGACTACAAGGCTACAAAGATTTATAATCAATTAAAAATTTTAATTAAGAAAATAGAAGAAAAATTATTAAATTAGATTGAAATGTTGTAAATCTTGCCCAAATCCTAAGCATCTTATGACTACGTGATTAGGGTTGTCAAAACGATTCTTTGTTCGTGAACGGCTCGTGTTCTGCTCGCCAAGCAAACGAGCCGTACACGAACAAACTTTTTGAGCTCGAAATATAAACGAGCTCAGCTCGTGTTCTGCTCGTCTACAACCCTAGTTTGTACCATTGTAAATTTTTTTTAATTATTTTGTACTTCAGATTTTTCATGTATTAAATAAATCCAACTTAACCGAGTATAATCATCAGTGAAAGTCACAAACGATCTTTTTTCCAGAGCGGGTTGGTGTTCTACAAGAACCTCATATATCAATATAAATCAAAGTAAATTGTGCAGTAAGGTTGTATATTTGTGGAGAAAATGATATGTGATAATGTTTAGCAAACTGACAAACTTTACATTGAAACAACGGTGCACTTTTATTTTGAAATAATTTGGGAAATAAGTTTTTAGATAATGAAAACTGGGATGACCTAACTTATAATATCATAACATCTTTTTATTATCTATCTGGGTCAAGTTCATTTTCAAAGCAATAAAATCCATCTTTTTCTTAGCATTATCAATCTTCCTCCGCGTGATCAATTCTCGAAAGTCACAGCAAGAAGAATAGAACTTCGTTTGGTATTGATGATCAGAAGTAATTTTATTAATAAACAACAAGTTACATGATAAATTACGAAAAT